CAGATTGGTCCTCGAAGTTGCATAAAAAGGGTCAAATAAGTCCTTATATAGGAGACTCTGTCCGGTCGTCGCCATTTAGGGCGGTTCCCGATAGAATTTTTTGATGAATTTGTTTGAGCATCTTATTCATTATGTCTAGTTTACTCATACCAAATTTCAGCTAAAACTTCAATCGGGAAGGCATTCAAATGAAGTCTTGAAGATAACTGCGCTTTTAACTGCGCAGTTAAAATGGTTGTAGAAAGGTGGTTGAAAGTACAAGTATCGTCTCCACAGGGACGGACAAAAGGGAAATAATGTTTAACTAAATTTAACGATTAAACAGAAATAAATAAAATAAAAGTGCAATTGTGCGAGATTGATTGATTGATTGATTAAACTAAAACTAATGCTAATGAGCGAATAAAAAGATTTGGTTTTCCATAATTAACGACGAAGGGAACAGGAACTGATTCCGGGGTTAACCAGATTTCTGGCAGAACAGGCCTAATTACATGAATTTAATTTAATTGAGCCTAGCTAATCATTACTAAGTTCTTACCGCTCTCGCGGCGTAGAATACAATAATTTAGGGGTCCAGGCTGATCTCTCATGCGACAAGATCCTAAATTATTGCCAAAACGAACGAGCTTACGGCCCCTTAATCGCTACTAATCTCTTAGCGAACGATTAAGTGTGTGTGAATGTGTCCTAGAACAAATTAGATCTCTCTTAATTTATTCTATAAGCAATTGTAATGCTAGTGGCCATCTAGGTTACAAGAGATATCAGTTAAATTATTCATACACAAATTAAACGGCATTCATGCAATTAAACCGACAAGAATCTAGCCATCAATCATGATTAACCCCTTCATCAACCCCAAATCCCTAATTAAACTACTCACGCCTCATAATTGACGAATCAAAAGAATTGGAATGAATAGAAATAATTGTCATTAATTAAAGAATTGAACTTACAAAGAATCCCAGGTTCTTGGATTAAACAACGTAAAAAAACGCAGGTAAACTCGTCCCTAGGCCTCTCTCCAAAGTTCGTAACCCCCAAAAGTGGGTATGGAGGCCTTATTTATAGAAAACAGGAGAAGTTGAGCTAATTTAGGACAAAACGGGGCCAGACACGATGCCAGGCACGATCGTGCCTGCCATCGTGCCTACGGAGTATTCGCGTAAAAAATTTGCAGACACGATCGTGCCTGCACCGAACACGATCGTGTCTGGCTGCCAATGGCTCCGCGTCAATTCTGAATGCAGGCACGATCGTGCCTGACCTTTTCTTCATCGTTTTTCTTCGTTTCTTGTTCCGAATGCTCCCGAATGCCTACGAGGTCAATCCAAATGCTTTTTCTTCACCAGAATTTCGTCGTGAATCTCCCGGTGGCCTCCAAATCTTCCAAATCCTTCTCGAATGCCTTCAAATCCTTCATGAATGCCTCTTAAGCGCCGATTGCCAGACTCTAACTTCTTCAAATCAACTCCAAATGCTATGAAACTCGATCCAACGCCTGTTAAACACAACTTGAGCCAAAATTGAGACTTGCAACGCCTTAAAGCTAGGAAAATCATCAGAATCCGACCCGAACACGCATCAAATGCGTGTCTAAATACGGACTTGTCAAATACATTGTGATTACAACGCGAGTTGGTCTTCTATTCCGTCGTTGTACCTCGACTCTGGTGACGAGCCGGTTTTCTATTTTGGCAATTGCACTGTCACTGCTCGATGAGGCTGTCTTCTTCTTTGCCGACTACACCATTTGTGACTAGTCGATCTTATACTCTATCACTTGCACTTGGAATCCAACTACGAGCCGGTTTTGTTGTTGATTGTGCAACCACTCCGGCGACGATTCAATCTCTACTCTGTCGTCTACACCGTGACTCTGATGACGTGGCAGCCCCCCCCTCTGTTTTCTCTAGTCATTTTCAATTTGAAAAGTGTCACTTTAAAAACAAATGTCATTTCAAGCTAGCAATATTTTTCTTTTGAAAATACAATAATTATAATGTTGTGTTTCTTAGTCTAGGTATATCATTTTGTCAAATAATATCATTTTTATGGCACTATCTCTACCAAGATGACAATATTAGTAACGATTTTCTCATTTTATGTTTTCTTCTTATCCTCACATTTTGATTTTAAAAATAACATAATTTTTTAATATGAAATTCCTTTACAAGGATGGCAATAAACATTAACAAGTCATTGGTCAGCTAACCCGTGTGTTGTCAAATAAAGATTTTTTTTCCTTAAAAACAATTTATCTCATAAGATAATTCGAATTTACTTGGTGTATGAGCATTTATAATATGATAAAAGGTTGTATTAAAGTACATATATGGTAATTATTAGGGATTATTCCCTAAATATTACTCCATGCTAAATTGAAGTCAATTTCCATAAATGTGACCACTTTTATATATTGACAAAAAATGTTACTAATATGGTCATATATTTGGAAAATGTCACTGCAAGTTTGTCACTACCGAACCTTTATGTCACTATGATTTTTGAGAATAGTTGAATATCAGCCAACACTAGCAATTGAATGTGAGACAGACAAGGTTTCGCTAGATAATGTGGTTTCAAGCAACTGTGTGTTGGATCTTCTGCCTCTCAATGGTATCAATCCACCATCATGTGAGAATGAGCCTTCCATTTCAGGAGCTTTGCTTCAAGTTGATATTGAGCAGTCTTCATCTTGGAATAACTCATTTGAGTTGACTTCTATTGATCCCAAAGCAGATGATTTTGTTAATCTCAAGGAATTCTTTCAAACTACTTTGACGGATGGAGTTGAGACACTCTCTCATTTTCTACTTCATGAATTTGAAAGAATCATTACCTCTGTTTTGAATAATCAGGATAATTTGATTGCGACACAATCTCATGAAAAAGAAGCCATGAGAAAGGAGATTCTTCCTCAGACAGATGCTCGGGAGAAGTTTGGAGATTTAGAATCTAGTGGTTTAATGTTTTATTCTAAAGCTTGTGCTGACGAGGGAATTTATGGAGATCCATACTCTACACCCGTGCGGGATGATTTTTTTGGTCATATTTCGGAGAACGAGAAAAGAATTCCTATTTCGACGGTGGGGGATCTATATGATCCAGATACAAATCAGGATATTTGCTACAAAGCTATGTTTGTAACGCGAGATAACTGCTTGCCTACACCGAACTTGAACACTCAAAAGGGGATGTATAGCAAAAGGAATCAGCGATCACACCTTATGAGGACAAGATCTCAAACACGAATGGAGCTCTGATGATTTGGCGGAGGGCATAACATTATCTATTTACTAGGGAGGGGTCTTTTGTTACTCATTTGGGGTTGGGTGTTTATTTTCTTTATTTAGGCTTTTTCTTATTTTTGTTTTTTTTTTCGTTCTTTTGTGTACTTTCTTCTCGTTTTTTAATAAAATTTCTTTAAAAAAAAACAGAGAAATAATGTTTGTGTTATGTATAATTTAATTTAGTTTAGGGAAAATAACTTTAAATAATACAAACTATCTTCCGTGAACCAAGAATAATACGTACTTTGAAAATAAGTTTTAATAATACCAACTATTTGAATATAGACAACAAATGATATAAGGCATCTTTTTACTAAAAATTCAACCATCTAACTCATCAAAAACTTATGTAAAAATATCTAATTAGTGAATATATTTCCAAATATCATTTATTTGATGGATTGTCATTAGCTTTTGATGTCTTAAATGATCGGATTTTTTGTCAAAAAATGACTCCATATTATTTTTGTTTTACATTCATATAGTTGGTATTATTAAAAGTCATTTCCGAAGTTTGTATTATTATTGGTTCAAGGATGATAGTTGGTATTATTTAAAGTAATTTTTCCTTTAGTTTATAAATTAATTTGCACATTCATTGTTTGTAATAATGTAGCTATATTGAATGATGATAATATGTGTTTACTAGTTATTAGTAATAATTAACTTTTATTTTTAGATAACTTAAAGATTTTTTATTGATAAAACAATAAATATTCATCTCAACTATATCACATAGAACGTATATATTCATGAGCTATTTTCTAACTACTCACAGACAAATTAAATCAATAATATATACAGTTTTATCTATCTCGCATACTTATATAATTCAAAACATATTTTATCTCTTCTCACTTTTATTTTATTTGTTGTTGTATTGTGCTTGCATTCTTTATGTAATATGTTTGAACCCTCTAAATAATCAATTTTAAATCAAGTGGGATTTTTTTGGTAAAAAAACCGAAACTCCAATCAAATCGTGGTTCCAAGTTTTGGAGTGTAAAATCGAACCGAAACCGAACCGAACTTTTTACTTTGATTCTATATTTGGTTTTAGGTCAAAACCGCAAGAACCGAACCCACCCCTATTTCGTGGTGCACTAGTGTGTACGAGATGAAATATGAACTTATTTCTAAGTATCTTGAAAATGTAAAATGCTTCAATGACATGAATGAGTAAACGTCAGAGGATAATATATGTCTATTTTTTCAAAAAAAAATTGTATTTTAATATTTATAAATAGACCCCTGTAACTTTTAATATTTATAAATACATCCCCATAACTTTTAATATTTATAAATATGCCCCTGTATTCGTATCCTACTTTTTTTGGTTTTGTCGTATCCACGTACGCGTTTCCGCGTACCCGCATGGGTGCTCAATAGAGTATGAGTACAGAGTAATTTTCATTTTTTTTTATTTTTCGGAGGTAATACAATTTTTTTTTAAAATGAGATCTCGTAAATAGGTACACCAAAATCACTTCTCCCAAACGGCATCTAAAACCTTCCTTTTCCGATTGGCCCTCCATAGTCATCCCACATGGGCACCTAATCCTATTGTCTCATTTTTGTCCCCTGAAAGTGCGATGACAGAGCATTTCCTTTAAAGCTGCTCCTACTCCTGCCGACACACTGACTTGACTTTATCCCAAATTCATGCATTTCTACCCCCAAATAATTAAAGCTGCAATGCCATAAAATTTTTAATAAACAAACAAAAATAATTGAGCTACGTCCTTCTTTCCTCCTCCCCATCTCATATTTATTAGTCAGTACTCTTATTATTTAATTCCAACTTGCTCTGCCCAAAATTCTGCAATCAATCAAACACAACCTACCACCCACCTTTACCCGGAAGAAGGAAAAAACTCCCAAGCTCATCAGAAAAAGCAAGGTTTTTTTTGCTTGTTTCAATAATCAGCGGAGAAGAAGATGCCTTGTGATCTGAATCTCAAGGCAACCGAGCTCCGGCTCGGGCTGCCCGGCACAGAAGAAGAAGAGTGTGTGACAGAAATGGGGTCAAGCCTGAAGAACAAGAACAAAAGATCCCTTCTTGCTGAATCTGGGGATGAAGAAGACTGCGAATCCAAGGCCAACAATGAAGGTGCCAAGAACTCCCCTGCTTCAAAGTAAGCCCACTTTCAGATTCCTAATTTTATGGTGAACAAACTTGTTCTTCTTCTTTGGGTAGATATATTTTACACAGATGTCATATTGCCTTATTAATTCTCTTGTTTGGATAGATGAGGTAGTTATGAACATTAAGATAGGTTAATTAGAGGTATAAGCGGAAATTAAACACTAATTACATAGAAATTAGACTATCTTTGTGAGCGATTTTGATACTTAAACAAAGGAATTAAATTAGCATGTTCATTAAGATCTTGGTCGTATCTCCTCTAAGCAAAGTAGTCTCATTCCCACACAGTTTTAACTTTTTTAAAAACCGTACAAACCCAAAAAAATAAACATCTTTTGAGTGCGTAGGGTTTTTAAGAAAGTTGGTAATGTGTGGGATTGATGCTACTTTGGTAAGAAGAGAATATGACAAAGAAACTATTGTAACTACAGAAAGAAATCTATTTCCTTGATTTTAGGATGGATGAAAAGTAAAAGAACAATTTGAGTTGATAAAAAAGATTCTTTATTTTCTGGGGAAATTATGTGAGTGTTCAGTTTGTCACATTAAAAAATCATATTTGACTTCATAGGCAGTGAATTTCTACAGTTGTTTTGTCAAGATTTTAGGGCTGACACTCAGAGTTCAACTGTTATATTTATTTATTGTTAAGTTTATTGAAATTAAAATGATGTTAAAGAGATTTTGGTTTGCTATATGTCATGATTAGGCCTGTTGATATGAGAGTACATCTTATACAAACGAGCATATAAGATATTGGGCTAATCGTTATACATGAGGTCCTGAACTTTCGTATAGAACCCAAAATCTAAAGAGTTCGATATGTTAGGTAAATAGGTTTATCTAAAGGGAACGTTTTTCTATAAAGATTAGACTAAGCAAAATATGAAGTATTAAACCCCCTAATACATGGTAAAGGATGAAACTTAATACAAAGACTAATAATGTGGTTGAAATGATTTGCAGGGCACAGATAGTGGGATGGCCACCAGTGAGATCCTACAGGAAGAACAATCTGCAAGTGAAAAAGGCAGATTCATCAGAGAGTGGAATGTTTGTGAAGGTTAGCATGGATGGAGCACCTTACCTTAGAAAGATTGATCTCCATGTGTACAGTGGGTACTCAGATCTGCTGAAAGCATTGGAGACCATGTTTAAGCTATCCATAGGTCACTACTCTGAGAGGGAAGGCTACAAAGGCTCTGAATATGCCCCTGCTTATGAGGATAAAGATGGTGACTTGATGCTTGTTGGTGATGTTCCTTGGGAGTAAGTTTTCTCCTCCCCATCTTATATCTCTCCTTTTTTCTCTGCTGAACCAACACTTCACATTGTATCGAGACAAATGAACATATAATCGTTGGGCTACTTCCATATAAACCCGAGTCTTAATTTGTTTCTATCTAAGATGGAATGCCAAGTCTTAATATGTTATAATCTTCATATTAGTGTAACTAATAATGTGGGTATGATTTGGCAGAATGTTCCTGTCATCATGCAAGAGGTTGCGAATAATGAAAGGATCAGAGACAAGAGGTTTGGGTGTTGGAAACTGAAGATCCACAAGCCAAAAAATGATAGGAAATGAGTGGAATTTGAAGATCTCTTCTGTCTCAGGCAGGGAATTTATCAAGATAAAGGTTCCTTCTTTGCAAGATCGGGTTCTCGGATTTTCAAGAATCTCAGCTTAGTTGCTGTGAAATGTTTTCTTTTTGCTTTTTTGTATCGTGAAAAAACAGTTTCATGGATTGGTCTTCTTCCACTCAAGAATGGAACCAGAAGAAACCAGTTATTGTGACATTATTGTTGTTCTTGTATTTGGGTAATTTCAATTTTTTGGTCGTGTAAATGTATGTTATGATCAGGATAAAACCTGCTTGGCTTTCAAAAGATGCTGTGATGTTTTGTTTTTGTTTTTGGGATAACACCATGGAACAAACCAAATAATCAGACAAGGTTGGTGGCAATTGTGTGAACTAACATAATTGTAGTATTGTACAAGTGAGCTGTTCATGGTGTCTATATTCTGAGTAATTATTTTAGTGACCTAGCCTACGGGTTGACTCGGCCGGGTTCTGATTCTGGGTAACATGAAAAGGGATTGGAAACAGTAATTGGGTAACCCCATTTGGTTTTAGTTCTTGGATCGATTCTAATTTCAATTTAGAATGGGTGAGTGAGGACAATCAATTATCATTATACATTTATACATAGTATATCGTTCTATTGGATTTAGCCATTGTATTCTATCACCTGTAAGATGTAACCAACTTTCTATCTTTACATCTTAGAGTTATAGTGGACCTCCTCTTTATTTTCTATATTTTTTTTAATAAGAAAGGGAAAATTATATTAAATACTAAACGAAATTACAAGAAAAATGAAAAGAGAAGAAAATAAGACTAAAGAAAAGAGGTATTTATCTAAATAGGACCAAATCAATCTTTAATTGTCAAAATAGGACTAAAGATTAAAAATTTCCTAAATAGGAGTTATAATCTATAATTGGACAAAAACACCCTTGATGCTTGAAAGTGATACTGAGACCAGAACACAGGAGCACCGCCTTTCGCCGCCAATCACCGCCGGTCGCCGCCACTCGCCGTCGGTCGCCGCCAGTTTCCGGACATCACTGTCGCCTCCAAAATTAGCCGTCGTTGTAGATCTTGATGCCGATGATGCAGATCTGGCTAGAGTCGGACGGATTTAGCCTCCGCCAGCCGTCGACCGTTGTCCCTGTAGATCTAGGCACCTTTAATTCGCACCATATCCGACATCTATTGCTGCAAATATGACCCCCTCGGTTCCAGATCTGGCCGTTGCCAGTGTGAATGCCAATGTTTTTATCAGACTGTCATATTAATGGCATTTGCAAAGGAAAATGCAATTTTTTTGAGGACAAAGAATGCCATTTCGATGGCATTTTTAAAGTTTAACTTGGCATTCTGTAACAATCAAAGAAGAAACAGAGCATGGGGAAGAAGAATACCATCACCGACAGCGACGATGGTGGATTTCGCGATGGCGGCGACGGCGGTCTTCGCGACATCGGCTGCGATGGGGAAAGGAGAGAAGATGGGCAGGTGAGGGCGGAGGTGTACTGCACTACTGCTAGATTCGTTGTTCATGGTGAAGGGGATTAGGGGGAGGAGAGAAGATGATGGAAGATGGGTGGATGGTGTGCGCAGGGAGGGGGTTGGAATGATGGTGTGTGCAGGGGAATTAGAAGAAGGAAATAGGGGTAAATAGGTAATCTAGTCCTATTTGGGGAATAAAAATATAGAGAGTCCTATGTAGGAATTTGAGGAATAATTTAGGTAAAAAAGTCAAAAGAAAAATAGAAAAAGCTAGAATTACCCAACCCAAAATTAGCACCCTCCCAAATTAATTGAGCCCTCGATAAGACTTCAAAGCCCTACTCGGTGTCTGAGATCTAGTCTTCATAATATGCGATCGTTTATTCTTCTTTTTGTACATTCTTTATTGAGTGTTCAGATTATCTGTGGGCAAACAGTTTTCTCGTGTGACTAATAAAGCTGTTTGACAAATAACCTCATTTGCACCATGACCCAAATATTCATCCCCGAAAAGGTAGAGTAAGGATCCCCATCAATTCCTTTGCAATCAAAACCTTCAGAAAAATTGCATTCAGAATTCGCCCACCCATAATCGATGTGTCCAGTCCTAATACCCAATATAGAGAATATACATTGTACACATTATAGAGAATATACATAATTTACATGTTGATGAACTCTCTTAACATGATAGTAGAGCTAGTAGACAGTGCACATTTTCTCACACATAGCCACATACCTTCTCTGATACATTGCTAACAGCTTGATGACGATTATTAGTCTATTGTGTCCTCTCTTCGTGTCTAAAATACTCCAACATGTGTACCAGGGAGGTTTTCATGCCCTCTCCCCTTGCCACAACCAATGCAACAGGGTGCACCAAGAGTTGCTCCTTTGGTGCCGCTAAGGACATACTGTCAATGCGTCATGCCAATAATCATGATTAGTTGATTTTGGTCTTTCAGTGCAACTGATGGTAGTTCATCACCATATGAAGGGATTTACGATATCTTCTCGCATGCCAAATCCACAACTTTCTCACATCATTAGATTTTAGGAGTAGAATGAGGAATAATTTTTCATGTATGATATAGTAAAATAAGATGTGTTTATATACAAGTTCGATCCGTAGCTACTGCCTATAAACTAAACCCTTGGCCCATTTACATACAAAGTGCTATTTACAAAAAAAATTAGATGACCCATATGGGTCTAACACTCCTCCTCAAGGTGGAGCATGAGGATAAAAAAGGCCCAACTTGCAAAGAAGATAAAAAATTTGCCTCTTGCCGAAAGCCTAGCTTGGTGAAAATGTCAGCAAGTTGTTCATTGGTAGAAACATGGTGATCAACAATCAAACCCTCCTGAAGAGCATCCCGGACATAGTGAAAGTCAAATTCAATGTGTTTGGTGCGTTCATGAAACACCGGATTCTGAGCAATATGGAGAGCAGAACGATTGTCACAATAAAGAGGCATAGGACGAGAATGTGTAATGCCCAGACTAAGGACAAGACCCTTGAGCCACTTCAACTCCGCGGTCACTGCTACCATGGATCGATACTCAGCTTCAGCAGATGAGCAAGATACAATGTGTTGTTTCTTGGTTTTCCAGGAGATAAAGGACCCACTAAGAAATATAAACCAACCAGTGACGAGTAAGCGGGCAACTAGCCCAATCAGAATCACACCAGCCTGCAAGGGTCAAGTCATAAGACGATCGTAAAATAATGCCTTGTTTGAGCACCCTTTATGATAACGAACAACCCGAATGGCCTCATGCCAATGGATTACCCGTGGTGCCTGCATGAACTGAGATACAATGTGGATGAAATATGCCAAGTTAGGGCGAGTAAAGATAAATAGATAAGCCGACCGACAAATCTTCAGTAAGATTTTGAATCAGACAGAAGATCACTTGTAGAGAGAACCAAGGCATGATTATATTCTGCTCCATAGGAAAGGTTGTCGGTTTAGCACCAAGAAGACCGGACTCACTAATGATGTCCAAAATATATTTGCGCTGACACAGAAAAATACCTTCAACACTCTTTGCCACCTCTATGCCAGGGAAATACTTGAGAGCACCCAAATCTTTCGTGTGGAAACACGTGCTCAAATAGGATTTAAACTTGGATAAAGCAGAAGAACATTGCTAGAAATAACTAAATTATCAACATAAATCAGGATATTTAAATGGATAGACTCTTGCCAGAACCGGCGCCTGGGAGCTTGTCGTAAGCCATATAAGGATTTCCGCAACCGACATACTTGACCGGGACGAGAGGTAGAAAAATGGGCGGAGGTTTCATATAAACCTCTTCATCCAAATCTCCGTGAAGAATAACATTATGCACATCCATCTGATGCAATTCACCTTTTTTTGCTGCAGCAACAACTAGAAAAGCTCGAACAGTAACCATTTCAACTACATTGGAAAATGTCTCAGTATAATCAATATCTGCTTCTTGATGATTGCCAAATACAACAAGACGAGCCTTGAAGCGCGCAATAGTGCCGTCTAAATGATGTTTGATCTTATAGACCCACTTACACCCAAGCGCATTCTTAATCGTGCCAATTATTTTCAGGAGCTTGAATCTCACATTGCATAGCTTCACGCATATGGGCACCAATCATAGCTTCCCAGAAAGATCGGGGTTCATGACCTGCAAGAAGAGCTCCAAGAAACGCACGATGGCGCAAAGAAAATTTATCACATTTCACAAAATTAGCTATAGGATATGGCGTACCTGAGGAACCAACTGAGATGAGTGACGACGTAGATGGGGCTTACTTTTTTAACATGATGTGCGACAAAATCACGAAGCAATGTAGAAGCACATTTGGATCTCAGGCCGCGACCAAGCATAGGAGTACCCGTTGGAGCTGATTCGGCAGAAGGGTCAACTGTAGTGGAGATTGGGTCAACAACATACTCAAGAATGGGTACAGTGGGTTCCATAGCAGCAGTAGTACCCGTACTCGCTATAGCATGGGAGTTGTCTCCATAATAATGGGCTCATCATCAAAAATAAAAGGTGAAGACGAAGAGAACATCTCACCTTCTTCCGGTTGAGAGAGTGGGAGTTATGAGGGAGCTCCATAAAGGAAAGTGCAACTTCATGAAATTGTACATCCAAACAAGAGGTGTTTATATACAAGTTTGATCCATGACTATGATATCATATTAGATTTTAGGAGTAGAATAGGGAATAATTTACATGGAAATGCAGCAGCCCTGGTGAGGCTATGATACCATTTTAGATTTTAGGAGTAGAATAGGGAATACTTTCCAATGTATCATTGAGTAAAGCAAGAGGTGTTTATATACAAGTTTGACCCGTAGCTCGCTACTACCTATAAACTAAGCTCTTGGACCATTTAGATACAAAGTTCTATTTACAAAAATAATTAGACGATCCATACGGGTCTAACACACATACATGTGTTCAATATAGTGTGAAGTCGGCTAGATCTCTTCACCACAATCATTTTGCTCTATCTTCTCAACCATCGGTGGTCAATACTTCAACATCACTTGCAGCCAATGTGTCTCTCATCCTATAGAGATGTTTGATAGCGGCATTTGCCACCATGTAATTTCTAGTTTCTTCCATGCATGCCTTTTCCGCCTTAAAGGTCTTGACAAGATTTATACGAGTATTGGTAAATCCCTTCTCATCCGTCATATAACTATCCTCGCCAATTCCCAATCAAGATTTTCAACTTAGTTTTTATTCCTAAATTATGTATTAATTCTGTATCAAATGAATTTTCCCCAAATTTATACTTATCTATGACTCCTTTAACTTGAAGTGAGAATGTCAATAATGTAATCATCATTGTGTGATTGTGTCCACAACAACTTCATTTACTCCATTTCTCTTCTGTCTCCATACTCCAACATTGAATGGGACCTGCATCTATTAACGAATTAGCCACTGATCTAAATAAGTGCTATAGAATGGACACATAAGTTATCAATGTGTTTATTGCCTTGATTAAATACTTCATATTTAGGTATGACACATGTTTTAAGAATATAAACTTTGTTTTTTTGATGGAATATAAACTTTTGTATGAGAATACAAAAGAAAAATGAGATATCATGGATAAAGAGATAAAGTGAGAAAATGAAAGTTTTTAAAATCTAATATAGGAATGTATACTTATATCTAGAACAATTCAAAAAGGAAAATGCATACTATGAATGGACGAA